GGGTGTCCTCACCGGGATGCGAACCAGCGACCTTCTAGCTGTGAAGCAACAGTGCTAACCACCGAACCACCTTGCAGCTCTAGCTCTAACATAAACCGTCAAAAAAAGGAAAAAATAAAATTAAAAACCTTAAAAAACAAACTCCAGCAATCAATCATCAAGCAGGAGGACTGTAGGTAGATCTTTTGCATCACTTACATACGTACTCCCCCAACATTCAGCTGGACGTGTTTGATATCTTTGGACAATTTGGGATCGGCCCTCGATATCTACCAATCTGGCTACCACATGCTAAACTCAACACAATATTAAGACAGAAGAAATCTAACATCCTGTCACACGAGGCGGCTGTTTACCAGCCCTTCTGGTGCCAGCTCATTTAAAAGGTTTAATTAGCGCTTAGCAATTTAATATGTTGTTCTGTCATTTGCTCGACTGCTGTCGGAAATGTCTCTGTGTGATCTCAAAGTCCACCGTGTCTGTAAACCAGAGCAACATGTGTTTCATTATCCTCTCTGATTAGACTTAGAATAGGCCAACAGCCACATGTACTCATAATAAAACAACCTGGTGCTAGAAGGAGAGCTGGGCAGATCTACAGCATGCACAGGCTGCACATGTCCTGAAAGAAATCAGCTTTAATAAATGAAAGATGGAGCACCTGTCACGTGAGGCCAAGGGTTGAGATCCCAGAAGCAGCCACTAACAAAGAACATTGACCTGATGTCAGCAATATAGAAGACTCTATGATAAGAAAGGCTGTAATCTGGTGATCAAGTGTTTAAATATAAAATGGTTATTGTAACATTGCAATGAATTAAATTAAATTAAATTAAAGCTGCACAGTTAAAGATGAGAGAAAGGGTGAAAATGTCAAGAGAGCAAGAACAGTTAGTGTCCCTAAAACAGCTCATGTCTGGACATGTCATAGAGGCCACTGTCCACAGGATGCTGACAGAATGAACCCATTGCTAAAGCAGCTGATGGTTCCTCTTTTTACCAGCATGTATCCTGTGATTGCCAAACTGTGCTCTTTGCTATTACCAAATAGGTGAATCAGATCCTAAAGGTATCACATATATGGGCTACAGGTGAAGCGCCTGTTAGAAATGTGTGTGTGTAATCAAGTGTATGAGCTATGGATAAAAACTGTATGGTAGCAGCAAACGTGTTGAGGGGGAGAGTTGAATACAGTATGAAAGGCATGACAAAGAGACTTCAGACAGAGTTTATGGAGACTGCTCGCAATGGAGACATCGTTGGAGCTGAACACTCCTCCACCGATTGAAGAAGTCCTGATGGGTCTGCAAATTCTACTCAAGAGGAGCAGCAGAACCCCTTTCTGTGTTCTGCATGAAGAAGTATTCTTTTCCTTCTCCAAATGGATGCAAAAGAACTGCAGATCTGATCAGAGTCAGGACCTCTCATCTCCCCCTGAGACAGGAGGGTTTGGTCCGGGGATCAGGACTCTTGTTGCTGTATCACTGAAAGAGGACTCCTCCAGTCTCAGTCGCAGGTCTGAGCAGGGCTGAGTTAACCCAGCGCAGATCAATACACCTTAGAGCCTCAGCTTATTAATAAAAAAAAATAATAATAATGAGACTCACACACTAGAGGTGCGACATACAGCAGCCCGACATCTACGACTAAGACTGAAGTCACAACGCTGAGAAGCTGAGAAAAGTTCAACTTGGTTCAACCTGGACACAAGCGCTCTGATTCCCTTCAGGAAGCAGCTCCACAGCTGATCTCCACTGCAAAACAATGTAAAAGGCTTCAAAAGCTGATCAACAGGTTACCCATTCAAGATACTTCAACTTTAATGACGTACCAGGGCTTAGATAAGAACATATAAACACATTGCTTGGGGAATTGTGTTCTTTCTTACAAAATGTCCGTCTTGACTGTCTCATGAGAGCTGCGTATGTGAATGAGGTGCTTCAACCACAAACTGGTCCTATTCAAGTGTCACAACAAGCCACGGTGGTGTTACACTGAGCCAGCGTGTACAACAACAACACAACATGTAATTGCACGAATAATTTCATTGTTGACACATGTGGTTTATGCAGCGTATCAAGCCTCCACAATGTCAACACCAGCTGCTGTTATTACACATGTTAAACACACAGTATTGCTGCTTCCTGGAGATCTGGCCAAACTAGTTTACCTCGTAGACTCGAGTTCCACCGACAACCCAGATGGTCTCGATTAGATCAGAGAGGGGGGGCTCTGCAGCCAGGCGCACAGCGCTCTCAAAGTCCTGGCACAAGAAGTGGGCGTGATCTGGAGGTGTGCTGCAAGAAAAGAGACGGCACAGAAAAGCTCGACAGGTAAAGGACTGGATTCTGGATGCATTTCCTGCGACTCTCGCTAATGCAGATGTTTGTGTGTGTTGTAATGCTCACTCCAGGGTTGTACTCAGCACCGCGTGCAGAACATTGGGCAGCGGGAACATATTGTCCGGGTGGGAGTTCCAGCACAGTCGGCCCCAGATCATCAGATTCATCCTTCCTGGAACAGACAGAATCAGATATTAAATACAGTCATTCTAGTGGGACTTCAATATTGGCACATTTCACAGCAGCTGGAATCAAGATCTTAAAATGATATTGTTTTCTTAGCACGGAAAACAGAAAACTGGATAAAATTCATAATCCTGTGTGTGTGTGGTCAATGAAAAGCTTTTTGTGTATTTTGTGAATTGAACATATTATTCTGGTGCCAAAAGACAGACGTGGCAGCCGTTAAAGGTTGTAGTGAACGAGGAATGTATGATGTGACTGATGCAGAGTCCTACCTGGTCTGGACACCGTCGAGACAGTGTTCATATAGTACTGGAACTCAGACCTGCGAAAGGCACATTTCCAAAGTTACGTCAAACAGGAAACAGTTGGCTGTTACTAGGCTCATTCATTCTAATGACAGCTGCTTGGAGTGAAAAAAAAGCCTAACGAGCATCACATCAGATCACAGCCTCTTTTTCTTGCTTCTGCTCACGGGGAACCTACAAGATGTTCTGCTACAACCACCGTTCTCACACTTTTACGACTTATCTCCACTGGTACCTGTTGCAGCTCGTCCTGCTGTTGCTGCCTCTACTGCCACTAAAGATAAGTTTAAAGCATTTTAATTAACTAAACATCAACTTCTGACAGTTTTGATGGATGTCTTACAGTTGAGTCAGTGCCTGAGTTCAGAAAACTTTTAAAAGCCCACCTGCACCGAGAGACGTGTTTAATATTTGACATACTTTCTTTTTTTTTTTTTAATCATTGCCTCATTAAATGTTTTATTGTTGCTCTTTTTTAAACTCCAGTTTTGAAGCTGCTCAGAAAAGCATGTCAATCATTCTCCTTCTTTTGGTGATGAATAAAGTCCTACCAGCTGCTTTCACAGCAATAAAAATATGTCCTGAACTCTCACACAGAGGTTTCATGAAAATAGTTCCACAGAAACACTTTGTGAAGAGATGCAAATACAAGAACATTAAAGTAAAATACATGCAGGCTGTCAGATAATGAGACAGTTATTGCAGTCTACGTGTTGTGCCAAAGGCTGAATCTTATATAACTTAGCTGAGATGGTTTGAGTCTTACGGTAAATTCCAGGGCAGCTTCCCATCCTTCCCCATCCCTCTGTCCTTGCAAATCGCTGCTATGAGGCGCACAGGTTTCCTCTGCGCTTTGCTCTTCTCCATCTCCGGCAGCGGACGGTTCGAACCTGCAGGATGTGGATCCGCAGCTGGAACTGCTCAGTGCGTCTGTGGGAAACTCTTTATTGAGCTTTGGACCGAGCTGTCACCGCCCACCGAGCGGCTGCTGCGATTGGACACGTTGCAGCTTCAGCGCATCCACGGACTGGATTTTGTGCATTTGTTTTTTACTCCTCAGCCAACCCGAGGCCATCACAACCAACCAACACCGAGATTACACAGCAGCCTGTCTCACGCACAGAATGCACAATAAATATAACAAACATTTTTTGTTTTGTTTTGTTAGAAAAAATAAATAAATAAAAAAAGTAGGAATTTATCGAGCCAAAAGACCCCAAAAGCCAAAAATGATGACAAAGTGTTTAGAAAGTGTACATTAGTAATTAAATAAATGAAAAATAAAGTTTGAAGATAACATATATGAGCTTATTATTGCTTTAATTGGTATCTGGTTTGTGATAAAAGGTCAAAACAGACCATCTCTGATTCTTTGGCAAACATAAGGCCAATAAAAAGCAGCAGCAAATCCTGAACTAGATCATGTTTAACAGCTTTGCATCACATCTCTGATGCTTAGTGACAGCAAAATAAAACAATCCTCATACAGCCGCCAACAAAAATGTGCTTGTGACAACCATGTCCATCACGGCAGGCTTCAGTTTTCAATGAACTCTCAGTTTTCTCTGATGGAATGATTGAAGCATCTTTTGTTTTCTTTCATAAATTTGTCACAGTTCTTTTGAAACTATGACTAAAGCTGTTGGGTTTATTTAATTTCATATCCGATTAAATCACCTTGATTATTGGTCTTTTTGTGGCCATCCACGAGCTTTTGCTATATCTTTGATCGCTCTTCTTGACAGATTTGGTGCAATTCAGGTTCAGTTTTTGCCTGTAAATACAGAACCCAGCTACAGCTTTTCTGTTGTGAGAACGTTCTGGTAATGGTTTCAGTGGGAGGCTTATTTTTAGTTCCCAGAATGTTTTCTTTAAAAGTAGGATAAAGTTCTCTTAAAGACAGTGTTAGACCGTTATGCACTGATATTATTTGCAATGTTTTCCGAATGTTGCACTGAGAACGTCCTCCCTTTGCCATCAGGTAACACTGGGTAACATTGTTACAACGTTCCATAAGGCAACAAAATCCTCAAAACATTCTGAACATTGCAGGCAAAATGTTCAAACTTTGTTATATCACAGAACAGGAACGTTTTCTGGACATTGTTTTGATGTTGGTTTGAAAACGTTGTTTGTCATGTTTCAGAATTTGTGGCCCTGAAAACTTGACTTTTGAAAATCCTCTGAATGTCGCACAAGACAAATATCCTTAAAATATTCTTTGAACATTAAACGTTTCCTCTAAAACACTGGAACTTGTCAGTAATGTTGAGCCCTCTTGGGAAGAGAAATATGGGAATAAAGACTAAAAGCCGACCCCAAAAAAACACAAGCCAAAAGATAGTGCAGTATTTTATTCCGATTTCAACACATTCAGAATTTCTTTATACAAAAACAATAGAATTCCGATCACATGGGAGAGAAAACATTTACGGTAGAACTTTTCGGTTGTGGTGACGTTATTTACAAAGGAGTTGTCAAACTCTATGACCAAATACACAAAAGCTGGAAATCAAAAAACAAATATTTACAAAATGTGTGATGG